GAGAGAGAGAGACAGAGAGAGACAGACAGAGAGACAGACAGACAGAGAGACAGACAGACAGACAGACAGACAGACAGAGAGAGAGACAGTACAGAGACTGCCTCCTTCACCAGCGTGGGGCTAGTTACTCAAGAAATGTAATTTATTACTCTTTTTTAAAGTAATATTACTTTACATATTACTCCCTGCTAACAGTAATTACTTACACTACTAGTTATATTACTTTCTGCTATTCCACCACAAAATGAATAACTGACGATTAAAATATAGTTTAGTTTGTTAAAATCAAAGTAATCGAATATTTCCAGCTGCTGAATGACTTGATAACTGTAATGTGATTACTGTAATAATAATAAAATGAATATGTTGTTGAAACAATGTATTTTATTATAATGTGTGTGTGTGTGTGTGTGTGTGTGTACCTCTATGGAGTAGAAACCCTGTCCGTAGTGCTGATCCTGGGTCAGCCAGGAAAGGATGGGGTTGGCGTATTGGGTCCTCCCCTTTAACACAAAACAATAATCAATAACCAATAATACTGATTATTGATCTCACTCAACCTGTTAAGTGTTAGAGATCTGAATATAATAATTATCACATTATTTTATATAATAAATATTATATAATATAATAACTATCACATTATTTTTGCTTTGTGTAAATTAATAATTTTTACAACAGCTGATTTAATCGCTGTTTAAACCAGTAATTCTTTAATAATCTGTCTAATAATAATTAATATTAACTGTAAATGAACACTGTGGTCAGAGGTCTAATATTGTCGCCCTGTAGCTCGCCACGTTCCCAGGCGTTCAGGTTCGAGTCCAACCTGTATGTTCAGCTGTCCTTTCACAATAAAACAGTGTGTAAATAAGTGTATCTGGAACCACACCAGTGATGTCACGCCGTACACGTCTACATCACGGCAGCCGGGCGGGAAGATAAAGCGCTGGAGGTCAGTGAAGAAGAAGAAGAATAAACAGGAAGTAGCAGTACCTTTCGCAGCGCAGTCAGCAGGACCAACGCTGTCGTCTCCACCGTCAGACCGCTGGACTCATCTGGTTTTATCCAACCGCCTTTCACACTCGACTCCGGCCAGAACCGGAGGGTGGTGGGGGGGCCTGCTCACACACACACACACACACACACACACACACACATTAACACACAGACACATTTACAAGATCATTTATCATTTCATAAATTTTCTGTCATGACAGACATTATCTGCTGCAAACATCAACGACACAAAACTGACTGAATAAAACTACAAATTAAATAAAACTACAATCTGAATATTTACAAAGTAAATGAAACTACAACCTGAATAAAACTACAAATAAATAAAACTACAAATTAAATAAAACTACAACCTGAACAAAACTACAAATTAAATAAAACTACAACATGAATAAAACTACAGTCTTTATGTGACGGTAAATATAAAACTTCCCACCGTTCTCTTGACTCTCTCTCTCCATAGTGGTGTACATATTGGATGCTGCCGCGCTGTGGACGTCATGAAGGTTCAGAGCGTAGGTCGCCGCCGCACGCACATACAAACTCTTCACATAAGGGGCATGCTGGGAAATGTAGTCTGCTGCAGATGTCATGCTGTTCTCTTGGTACTAAGAGAGAAGAGGATGAGAGGAGGGGAGACGTGGGGGGGTTAAAGGAGGAAGAGTAGGATTAAAGGAGGAAGAGGAGGATGTTCTCACTTGCAGTTGCAGCCTTTGGTCGCTGATGCTCGTAGCTTTGTGTAACGCGATCAGAACAATGGACGTCAGATACACTGAGCGCACGGTCGCATCCGTCCCCTCAACCTGCAGCCAATCAGAGAACAGTAAAGGTCTGAACATCAAACGTTCAGTGAGAAAGAGGAGGAAGAGGAGGAAGAGGAGGAAGAGAAGTGCTGCTGACCATCAGTTTGTTGGGTCTGAAGAAGGATTTGTCTGTGAAGGATCCGTCCGTCTGCTGAGCTCTGCGGATCAACCAGTCCACCGACTGCGACAGAGACTCTCGGTACTGGCTGTCCAGATTTCGGTCGTCCTGAGGTCAAAACACGACAGCGTTAAAGAGAAAACACGACAGCGTTAAAGAGAAAACATGAGAACGTTAAAGAAAAAACACGTCAATGTTAAAGAGAAAACACGACAACGTTAAAGAGAAAACACGTTAAAGACAAAATAAGAACGTTAAAGAGAAAACATGACAACGTTAAAGAGAAAACACAATAGCGTTAAAGAGAAAACGTGACAGCGATAAAGAGAAAACATGACAACGTTAAAGAAAAAACACATCAATGTTAGAGAAAACACGACAACGTTAAAGAGAAAACACGACAACGTTAAAGAGAAAACATGACGTTAAAGAGAAAACATGACAACTTTAAAGAAAAAACACAACAACGTTAAAGAGAAAACACGCCAACGGTAAAGAGAAAACAACAACGTTAAAGAGAAAACGTGACAATGTTAAAGAAAAAACATATCAATGTTAAAGAGAAAACACGACAACGTTAAAGAGAAAACACAACAACGTTAGAGAGAAAACATGACAACGTTAAAGAAAAAACACATCAATGTTAAAGAGAAAACACGACAATGTTAAAGAAAAAATAACAACGTTAAAGAGAAAACGTGACAATGTTAAAGAGAAAATAACAACGTTAAAGAGAAAACGTGACAATGTTAAAAAGAAAACATGACAACGTTAAAGAGATAACAACAACGTTAGAGAGAAAACATGACAACGTTAAAGAAAAAACACATCAACGTTAAAGAGAAAATAACAACGTTAAAGAGAAAACGTGACAATGTTAAAGAATAAACGTGACAATGTTAAAGAATAAACGTGTTGTCATATAAAGGGGGCATGGTTTAATTCCATCCAATCCCAAACAAGAATCATCAGCAATCTGAAATGTTGTGTTTTGCCCCTCAGGGCCACCGTACCCCAGAGATCACCCCATCCACCACAGCCAGAGTCTTCACCGCCAGAGCTGTCAGCCTGAGACGGAAGGTGGGGGACACACAGGGGGGAGTCAGAGAGACAGATATGGACACTAGATGGAGCCAGTAGCAGTAACTCACTGAATGTTATTCTTATGACTCATTATTAATGTGCAACTTTAATTAGTTTGAATAGCTAACTGCTAACGTAGCTGCCGTTAGCAGAGGGGAAACAACTGTTGGATTAAATGTTCTGAAGACTTTAGTGTGTTCAGACCAGGTGCTGGATTCCCTCCGGACCCAGTTGGCATAGCTTCCGTCTTGCAGTCTGTATGAGCTGATACTGACCAGACCTGCACACACACACACACACACCCAGTGAATGAACAGCACATTAACGTCCTCAGGGTACCATCAGTGTCTCTCCAGCGTCCCCTCACCTTCTCTGATCTTCTGAGCCAAAGCTGCTGAGCCCCGCTGAATGTTGTCTCCCAGGAGGTCCCAGCGCCGCGTCACCTCCAGGAACTGGTACACCTCGGCCAGCAGGAGGACTCTGTAGATCTCAGACTCTCCCGACCCGGACGGCAGGTTAATGAGCTTTTTAAGTTCTTCGGGTTTGAGCACCACCTTCACGACGTCACCAAGAAGCTCACCTGGTACATAAGACGCACAGAACATATGTAGTTACACTGTTAGACCACAGGGGGAGGTAGAGGCTTCTGGTGCACTCCAGAGCATAAAGGTCACAACCTTTGACCCTCATCNNAACCCGTTCACTCTCTGCTGATCACAAACATACCATTGATAGTCAGCAGTCTGCCCACAGATGTTTTGGGAACGATGTTGGCCGGCAGGTAGTTGTTGAGCACCACTGTCGTCTTCTCTGAACCTACAGGAACACAGCAGAGACTTCAGCAAACACTGAGCTGTTAACCTCACACAGAACCAGGTGATGTAGATCAGTAAATGTACCGTAGACTCCCTGTGGGTCAAGTCTCCCTCCAGTAAACTGCTCCTTCATCACTCCTTCGGGCTGGAAACAACCAACAGAAAAGGTAATGATGGTATCAAACAGCAGTTGTTTCAGGTTGTTGATTTACTTAGTCACTGCTAGCTACGGAAAGTTCACCTGTAAACCTAATTCAGACGAGAAAATAAGTAAAACACAACAAAATGACAATTTATGTCAACAAATTTAAAAGTAAACAATTATGTGAAAGATGGATGAATGAACTATGGTTAAATAGCTCACATCACAACACATACAGTATTAGATTATTAATCCCTCCTCAAAGTCGCAACACTTAACGCAAATTCAACCAATC